GGGCTGGGGATTTAGCTCAGCGGCAAAGCGCCTGCCTGGCAAGCGCAAGGTGGTGAGTTCGGTTCCCGGTACTGGAGAAAAACCAAAAAAAAAAAAAAAAAGAATACATTCCAGCTGGGCATGGTGGCGCACCCCTGTAATCCCAGCACTCGGGAGACTGAGGACAGGAGGATCGTTGTGAGTTCGAGACCAGCCTGGGTTACAAAGTGAGTTCAAGGCCAGCCTGAATTGTACAGCGAGACCCTGTCTCAAAACGAAAAAAAAAAAAAAAAAAGAAAGAAAAAAAAAAGAATATGTTCCAAAGGAGTAAAAGAATTCAACATTGAGTTCCCCATCTGAAACACAAGAGGGAAACAGGCATCCCTTTTAATTTCTACTTGGTTTCTGTATCTTCTGAAGGTATCCCCTGAGGAGAGCTGCTCCAGGGCAAGTGGCTGCTATCTGGACAGGGACCAGGAGACAGGTTGGGTTGGATTAGCCACCCTTACTGACTCAAGTCCCTACCTTCTCCAGAAACTCACATTCCTAACTCCAGCGTGTGTTTCCCAAAGCACAGGCTACCACTGATTCCAGATGTAACAGTCATGTTCAAAGAAGGAAGCATTGTTACCAAAATTAAACCAATAATCAAGAGACCTGACTAACTGCTTTCCAATTCTTTGAAAGAGAATGAGGGGGGAAAAATCAAATGGCAAATTGGAAGTGGTTGGAGCACTTCCTTTTTTTTGTGTTTTTTTTTTTCTGGTGCCGGGAATCAAACTCACAACCTTGTGCTTGCCAAGCAGGCGCTGTGCTGCTGAGCTAAACCCCAAGCCCCTGCACTTCCTAACTTGTAAAACAGATCACCTCCAGAGCTACATAGAGGCAAGCGATGGTTTGGAAAAATCCTGCCCTGGGCCCTAGAGTGAAGTCCCCAAGATATTTGTGGTGTCTACCTAATCACTGAGGCACACTTCCTTAGCAGCAAGACAAGGCTAAATTTTACTCGAAATGTACTCTAAAATGTTTATGGTCAGGCATGATGGTGCACACCTATAATCCCAGCACTTGGGAGGCTGAGGCAGGAGGATTGCTATGAGTTTTGCAGCCAGCCTGGGCTACACAGTGAGCCCAAGGCCACCCTGAACTACATAGTGAGAACTTGTCTCAAAATAAATAAATATAAAATAAAATACAAGGGCTGGAGATTTAGCACAGTGGTGCAGTGCCTGCCTGGCAAGCACAGGGTCGTGAGTTTGATTCCCGGTACCGGCAAAAAACCAAAAAAATAAAAAATAAAAATACAACAAAATACAATTTTTATATCTCTATATCTGCAACACACTTATGAACCTCACAGGATAAAACCTGTACCATTGTTCAGCAACCACAGCTTACACATTAGCGAAAGTAATTACCTGTCTTTTTTTTTGGGGGGGGGGTCCTCTTGAGACAGGGTCTCACTATGCAGTCCAGGCTGGCCTTGAGCTCACTTTGTAGCCCAGGCTGGCCTCGAACTCAAAATGATCCTCCTGCCTCAGCCTCCCAAGCACGGGGAATACAGGTGTGCACCACCATACCCGGCTATGCCCTGTCTTTGGCATTAGCAAATACTCATTTTTATGGGTTCAACTTAAGGGTTCTTAGCTGGATAGGAGGGAAACACCGTGACAGTTTAGGGTTCCTTCCTGTCTAATCTTTTTGGAAACATGCGTCCAAGAAAGGAAAGGACAAAGTGTCAGGAAAAGATTAGAAATGAGGTCCGAGAAAGGAAGCCTTTCCTTCCCCTGCTCACAGTGAGTTCCTGAGACAGCTTGCCCCTGAGTCATCACCCTCGGCCTGGAAGGGCGAGAATGGGGAGTCTCAAGAGCTAAGATGGCCTCCTCACCAGGGCAAGGTCTGACCTGGAAGGAAACTGAGGCGGAGCAAGCTCAACACTCCCCTCTAGAGTGCAGAGGGGGCATCAGGCCACACTGTCCCAGTGAAACCTGTTCTTCAAGTCTTAAGAATGGTTGCCGCCTACTGACGTTTAACTGGCAACTGGAGTCCTGTGATTTATTAATAGGTGTGTATAGTTCCTAAATATAAACTAGATTTCATAGAAAGACCCACTTTACAACATTTCATGAATTTATGTTTTGGTTAGCATCAAAGTCCATTGGCTTCACTCTGAGATTACTTTTTCCTAGTGCTGCTGTTTAAGAAGTCAAACAAGTCCAGCATGGAGAACCAATAAATTCAGCAACTAGGGAGAAGGAAGCCACAGAGCACCATGTTCCAGAATGGCGGTGGCGGCCGCACCAGCTTCCAGAATGGTGGCAGCATACTTTGTTCCTCAGAATTGGATTCAGAGTGCCCAGCAATCCAGGCACTTGACCCCTATGGCCAAGAGAGAGGAAAGCTTGGCTACTGCTCCAGGTGGC